CTGGTTTAACTTTCAACTGATGGTATCCTGATCTGAGATCAATCTTAGAGAACACTTGAGCACCTTGTAATTGATCAAATAAGTCATCAATACGCGGTAAAGGATACTTATTTTTCACAGTTACCTTATTCAGTTCACGGTAGTCAATACATAGTCTCAGTGAGCCGTCTTTCTTTTTCACAAATAAAACAGGTGCGCCCCACGGTGATGTACTAGGCCTGATGAACTTCTTATCTAACAGTTCTTGCAGTTGCACTTTCAATTCCTTCAGTTCAGTCGGAGCCATTCGGTAAGGAGCTTTAGATACGGGTTGGGTACCCGGAATCACATCAACGGTAAATTCAATCTCTCTGTCAGTCAAATCCCCTAGCAGATTATCTGGGAAAACATCTGGGAATTCTCTGACTATAGGAATACTGTACACATTAGCATTATCATCAGCAGATACAGTCAATACAGAACACAGATATCCCTTACACCCATTTCTAATCAATTTAACAGCTTTCACAGATGAAATCAAATACGGAGGAGGTACTACTCCAACCCCATTAAGCACAAATTCGGGTAAACCCGGTGGACGAAAAACTACTTGTTTCGTTACACAGTCTATGGTAGCATGGTATTTTGTTAACCAGTCCATTCCCAATATTACATCAAAATGATCAATGTTCAGGGGTAGTAAGTCAATAAACAAATGTGCTTCTCCAACAATAATTTCACAAGCAGAATACATATATGCACAGGCCATAGATCCCCCAATAGGTGAAGATACGGCTAACAGGTAATTCATGGGTTCTAAGGGTCTATTCAATTTTCGCGAAAAAGCATGCGATACATATGAATGGGTAGACCCCGAATCAATCAGTACATATGCATTTTGAGTACAAATAGAGAGGATACCTGACACCACGGTCTCGGTATTTTGTACATCTCCCGGTAGTAGGGCAAACACTCGGCCCTGCCTTATAGGCTCTTTTCCGGTAGTTTTGGGGTTCGATTTTGGTGCAACAGTTGAGGCTGCCACGCTTGGTGTAGCTTTATTACTGGCCTGCGGAGCAGAAGGACAGTCTTTAACCATGTGGCCCACCCTGCCACACCTATAACAGGCTCCAGATATTTTGTAACAGACCCCTTTATGCTTCTTACCACACTCAGAACAGGGTGGTATGAAACCACTCCCCTGGCTGGGGCTAGTTGTTGACCCCGTATTCTATTTCTTGTTCACTGGGTTATGCTTGCCTTTCTTGAATTTGAAACCCTGCCTTTTCCCACGCCATTCAGACGCTGGTGTTTCAGTTTTCAGTGCCTCGATGTTCGATTTAGCCATCAAGGCTCGGTCAAGAACATTTACATAGTTTGGTAGCTTCAGAACATTAATTCTGTCGAGAATTGCAACATTAAAGCCACCTTCGAACTTCCTGGCCTTCTTGTACTCGGTGTCCACCATGTGTGGTGCATATCTAGCAAGTTCGGTGAATTTTGTTTCATATTGAGCAACAGACATTGTGCCCTATCTCAGCTGTTCAAACTCAGTTACTTTTCTATCCCTGACACACTGAGGGAAATACTTTTCGAAGAAGGCTCCTTTGAATTGAGCCCAAGTCATAACGGTGTTAATGTCGCGGACTAACATCCACCACTTTCTGGCCTCTTCTTGTAGTGTAAAGGTGGCTAGCAGTACTTTATGTGCTTCAGAGCACGGAAAGACTTCAAACAATTTTTCTGTCTCAAGCACCCAAGCTTCAGCCTTTAACGGTTCACGGCCTCCCTGAAACGATGGCGGTTTCATTTTGCTGAACTTTCGGGTGAGAGCAATTATGTCATCATTAACAGGTAGTTCTGGCTGTACTGGAGGAGTTGGGGTTGTTGGTTCTGTTATTGCCGTAACCTTTCAGTTATTAGTTCCATCATTCTCTCCAGTCTTGCCATTCTTGCCTCAGAAGATGAGGTTTCAGATTCATTTGCAGTTCTCGCATTATCCATTTCACTATAGGAAGTTATAACAGTTATCAACATAGGCAGTCATTTATTTAAACAGATTAACACATTAGCATATATTCAGTCATATCATAGCCATACACTTATCATGCTCATGTGATGCCCTATTTACTTTTCTAGGCTAGGACACCCTATAGCTCATTTGGACACGTGTGTGCGGTATAACTCGTGGTAAGTATCGCTCTGATACCACTCTGTCACAACCCAAACCCGCCCCTATGGGTTTAGCACCGTAACCGGCCAGTAATCCGAGATTACCGAAGGCCTGCTTAACAGTAATACAGAGTACAGAGTATAGGGGCTGGCAGAAGCCAAAACAGTAAATAGACAGTATCCAATGAGCTGTGATAATCTGTATGCAACAAGAATTTTCATTCATATATATTTAGTCAGACAAAACAGTATGTACATATATACAATCATTCAGTATAGTACAGTCTATACAGTCGTACAAATCAGATACAGAGACAGACGGGGAAAATTAAAAACACCCCTAAGCCGTAACTTGACAGGCTTGGAACCTCGTATTCAGGCACATAGGTTGGCTCGACAAAACTGGAGTTTACCCCGACACTTCTAGCTGCGGTCTGGTGTCTGTACACCTACATATATATATAAGCAGTGAGCTAAAGCCCAGTGAATAACACAATGCGTAAAGGGGTTAAGAATGAATGTCCTTATAATAATGAAAACAGTTCATTAAACCAGTATTTCAGTCGTTTAGTCAGTATAGTCATATGTGGTACATCCATTAGCATAACAGTACAGTGAACAGTAGGTCTTAAAAGACCGAGCAGTAAATGATGGCCATCAATCAGTAAACAGTAGTGGTTCCAACAAAGGAACTAACAGAGATCTTTGTAACAGTAACAGTAAACAGTAGGTGCCAAGGATGCCACAATACAGTTCAGAATATAGGGCATATATTCATTCAATTAACAGTATCAGTTCAGAAAGCAGTACGGTTCAATTGTTCAGAAGATAATCATTTTGAACATATCTTTACACAGTTGTTACTCACAGAGTTCTGGGCTACAGTAAAGCTAGAGCGCGTCCCCAGTCGCCAACCCTACACAGTTACAGATTGAACACACACTAAGCTACACAGTTGGGAAATAATAACTTAATCCCTAATTGCCTCGGTGTGTTCTACATCTATATCCTCATTAAGATGCCTTAAACTAGGCCTAAGAATACCTAGGATGAGATGAGGATGCAAAGATGCACTTTAAAAGCATTTTCAGACTTTTCAGAAAACAGGGGTCACGCTCGAGCGTAGGTTACTCCGCTCGAGCGGACATGCAGACAAAGGTTTCCGCTCGAGCGTAGACTTACTCGCTCGAGCGTTCTGCAAAACAGTCAAAAGTGCTGGATAGGCGAAAATCACGCTCGATTGGGCGCTCGACACCCGCTCGAGCATGAGACACAATGCCCCGCTCGAGCGTCAATTATTCCGCTCGAGCGAACTTCAAAACAGAACAAAATGCTGGGAGCACGATTTCCACGCTCGAGCGTGAGTCCAAATTCTGAATATTCTAGATTTGAACCTCAAGCTCAAAACCAAGTTTTAAACCATAAATTTCGATCATCTTGGGCCAATTTTCCAGAAAACACATCAAAAACTCATATTTTAACATGATTCAAAGCTCAATTTGTAAAATCAAAGCCCAAGGGTGTTTCAAATAAATCCAATTCAAACCAATTTCCATGAATATGAAGAACGTGCAAACATGCATGAATTTAAACACTTCAAAGCTTCAAATGCTAGCTCAATTGAGCCAATTCTTTCTAAAAACATGATGAAATCATGGACTACTCTTAAAACATGGACATGCACGTGAGGAATGTGAACTACAACCTCAAAACTTTAATATATATACATGCATGCAACAATTAAGCTTCAACACAACAATTTGAGCCGTAAGTTGGCTCTAGTCTCCAACCTAGGTCTAAACCATGCAAGAAACAATTTAAACACAAGAATGAGAAGATGAATTTCTACCTTAAGTCTCCAATTCAAGGAAGGAAAGCTCAAATATGCAATTTCTTCTTCAATTCCAAGCAATTCATAAGCTAAAGTGAGATGAAATCCAACTCCCTCCCTTGTCTCCCTCTCTCTAGTCGGCAAAGGCAAGGAATGAGCTGAGCAAAAGTGTGCCTAGGTGTATACTAAGGCTCAAATATTGATTATGGTGTAGGCCACTCATGTGGCAAAATGGTAAATAAGGCCAACTATGCAATTTAGCTCATTTTAATCTAATTTAATCGTATCTAATCAGTTTTCGGGTAACTACACCATAAAATCACATAAATTACGATGATCATAAAACACTAATCGGTTTCCGGTTCGGCCGCCGATAAGGCCTTCAATTAGCAATTTAAACATAAAACTGAACAGATAATTAAATAGTCAACAGATAGACATACAGTTAAACAAATATACTTAGTCAATTCAATTCCATATTTCAGTCAGTCAGTTCAGTAGTTTATTCAGTTCACTTATCAGTCATAATCAGTTTCTGTTTAACGGTAATCAGTGGTTATTTGGTAAACAGTGACGAGGGTTGTTACAGAGGGTCCTGCACCAAACAACCATTAGCAGAAAATGTAAGGGTTAGACCAAGTTTTGGTTTGTTACCAAAGAGACCATTCTTGCGCATCCTCAAATCATGTATTACACCATTCCTTATTGTTGTCGACTCTATTTCTCATAACCTCTTTTGATTCAAAAATTAGTACATATGATTTGCTGCCCATTGCACGCACCTGGATTTTCTTGGCATCCTCAGGAGAGAATGACGCCAATATGGATTGATTTGCATGAGGAAGACTTGCTTTCACCACCACACTTCTATAGAGCCATTCATTTCTCACTTAATCTGCATGAATTTTGATAGGTGGCTCAATGACTTGAATCCTTTTATCTTTTTCCTTTACTTGCAAATTGTTTTTCACAATTTTTACATAGGAGAGTTTGTTGTGGTTTTGCACTCTTGGCAGATTCATTGGAATGTGATGACGTGAATCATAAGATTGAAATCTCTGTTTTTGTTCTGCCTGAAAGTGCTTGGGATGTGGTGGTCTCTCAAACCTAGCAGGCTTGACAGATGTGGTGGTCTCTCAAACGTAACAGGCTTGACAATAAGATTATATTCACCATACCATGCTCCATTGAATTTTCGAGCTGCCTCCACTACTGAATCTGGCCTCTCATGTTGGATGAAGCCAAATCTTGAGTTGAAGCACTTGGTTCTTCTATTGGGAATTGAAGCTTGAATAACCCTACCAAATCTTTGAAAATGGCCCTTCAGGGAATCCACTTGCAAATGCTCTGGAATATTGGCTATAAAGACTGTGAAGGGTGTTCTAGGCTTTCTTTGCTGTCTAGAAACGATTGTCCATTCATGGTCGATTGCTCCATTCTTTGAACCGACCTCCATTCCAGCAAATTTTTCCTCAGTTTACTCTTCTATCCAAATTATTGACAAAATTTGTCGTCGTCTCCTTTTCTTCTGTGACTCTTTCTGCATAAAGCGGGGAATCTAAACATTCTAGTACAATGATAGGATACCTAGATAAACATGCTAATTTCTTTTGATCTTGAGATATCTAAGGTCTCAATTCTATATTCTACTGATGAAAATCCAATGGATTTTTTGCTGATGTTGAAACTGGTTGAGATATGTTTCTTTGCTTCAATTCTTTCTTCTCAAGAAAGGATGAAGAAATCATTTTTTTGGCATTGTTAGCTGTATATTATTATACTTATCTATTTGTATTGTAGATGTATCTCCTTCTATACTTGTCATCAATCTCATTGTATCTCTATCTTCTTATGTACCTATCTAGGTTTCTTATCAGCCTATATATACAGGCTTCTACTATTGTATTATTCATTCAACTTAATACATCAGAATTACTCTCATAACAAGTTTGATTTGGTATTTGTTATAATATATTTTTAATATATTATATCTAATTTTTGGATGCCCAATTCAGTTTGGTAACAATTAGAATTTTGATAAAAAAAAACCCAAGAGTTAATAATATATATATATATTGTTCCGAAGGGATAACGGTGGCTAGACACATCAATTCAGTGGTTGTGCTTTGTTCTATGTTGCTTGGAATATTTCATTGGTGCTTTCAAACATTTTGTTAGTGGATCTTCGACTGGTTGCTTTGATTCGGCTGATTTGGGTTAATTATTTTGGTTCTTCTACAACTTTGTTTTGAAAACTTTTTTTCATCTATTTGGTGAGGTCTTTTCTCTTGTTTATTTGTAATTATTTGGAATTCACCTAAGAGTGGTCTGTGAGATCATTCATGTCTTGTTTATAATCATTTGGAAACTTTTTGGTTGATAGTAGAATCGAATTTCGATCCCGTGGACGTACCTTATATTGATAGAACCACGTGAAATTCTTGCGTTGCTATTAATTTAATTTTTTCACATTAGTTTTTATTTTTATTGATTGATTTACTAGTGGGAAATCATATATTGTCCCTAACAACTGGTATCAAAACTTACAGTTTATTTGGGTTTATTTATTTGTGTAAATCAATGAAGGGGAATGTGGGTCGTATGTCTAGCTTCAATGAAAGCAATTGGGTACCTTGAAAAACTAAAATGGAGGACCTATTATTTGGTAAAGATTTGTATAGACCTATTGTGGGTGATAGTGGCAAACCCGATGGTATGAAAGATGATAAATGGAAGGGGCTTATCGAAAAGTCGTTGGTGTTATCCGTCAATGGATTGATGGCAGTGTGTTTCATCATGTTGCTACTGAAACTTTAGTACATGATTTATGAAAAAAATTAGAAGACCTTTATGTTAGAAAATTAGCCACAAATAAAGCCTTTCTATTTCATAACTTGGTTAATTTAAAAATAAAGATGGCAGCCCCATTTCGAAAAATTTGAATGAAATAAAGAGTATTGTTAACCAACTTGCTTCTATGAAATTTTTTTTTTTTGATGAGTTGCAGGTTTTGATGCTATATGTTCTTTGCTCGAAAGTTGGGAGACTTTGGTAGTGACGGTTAGTAATTCGGCACCTGATGGAGTTGTTATAATGAGCCAAGTCACTAGTAGCTTGTTGAATGAAAAAATTAGAAAAAAATCAGCGGGTTCCTCTCATTCGGAGGCATTTGTTGTGAGAGGGCGAAGTAAAACAAGGGAGTGGAGTAAGACTCCTCATGGTCATTATCAAAGTCGTGACAAATCAAGAGATGACTCTTTTTCAAAGAACGACATTGAGTGCCATTATTGCCATGAGAAAGGGCACATGAAGCGGGAATGCTGAAAGTTCAAGAACAAAGAGAAAAGGCATGACAAGAGTGTAGATAAGAAGCAAGAAGACACAATGGTGGTTACTACCGATGATCTCATGGTCGTTTGTGAAGATGATTGTATCAATTTTGTGGGCCAAGAGAGCAATTGGGTGATTGATTATGGTGTTTCTTTTCATATGACTTCTCGAGTTAATTTCTTCACTACTTGCACCAAAAGAGATTATGTTTGTGTTCTAATGGGTAATGAAGGTTTGTCTAAGATTATTGGCATGGGTGATGTTTGCTTGAAAACAAATTTGGGTTGTAAGTTGTTGCTTAAAGATGTGAGGCGTGTTCCCAATATTCGCCTTAATTTGATCTCTACTGGGAAGCTAGATGATGAAGGCTACAACAACAAATTTGGTGATAGAATGTGGAAGCTCACAAAGGGTTCTTTGGTAGTGGCTAAGTGCAAGAAGATTCATATACTTTATTTGATGCAAGAAAAAATTTGTAAACATGTTGTCAATACACTTGAAGATGATACTTCTACCGAATTGTGGCACAAGCAGCTTGGGCACATGAGTGAAAAGGTGCTGCAAGTTTTGTTCAATAAAGAGCTTCTACTCGGTACACATCTTAAAACTTGTGTTTATTGTTTGGAGGGTAAACAACATAATGTTTCTTTTCATAAAAATGTTACTTCTAGAAAAGAAAATATTTTGGAGTTAATTCATTCTGATGTTTGTGGTCCTTTAAAAGTTAGAACACATAGTGGTGCACTTTATTTTGTTACTTTCATTGATGATTATTCAAGGAAAGTTTAGGCTTTTGTACTAAAAACTAAAGATCAAGTTCTAGATGTATTTAAACTTTTTCAAGCCATGGTTGAAAGGAGACAGTGCATAAATTGAAGTGCATCCGAACAGACAATGGTGGTGAATACATTGGGCCATTTGATGAGCATTGTTGCAGCTATGGTATTCGACACCAAAAGATAGTTAAGAAGACTCCTCAACAAAATGGCATTGCTGAGAGGATGAATTGCACCATTATGGAAAGAACAAGGTGTCTCCTTTCACATGTTAAATTGCCAAGATCCTTTTGAGGTGAGGCAATGAGGACAGCAGTTGACGTGATTAATTTGTCTCATTCTTATCCTTTGAATGGTGATGTTCTTGAAAGAGTTTGGACTGGCAAAGATGTGTCTTATGAGCACATGAGAGTGTTTGGTTATCGAGTTTTTGTTCACATTCTAAAGGATGAGAGGTCCAAGCTTGATAGTAAGTCAAGACAATGTATTTTTCTTGGCTATGGGCGTGATAAATTCGGGTATAGATTGTGGGATCCGATCGACAAGAAAGTCATTCAAAGTCATGATGTTGTGTTTTTTGAAGACCAAACAATTGAAGACTTTGGCAAAGGTGATCAACCGGAGCCAAAAACTAGTGATCTCATTGACATGAATCCATCTCCTTCATCTTCAGTTGATGTTGAAAATGGGGGAGATGTGCAGCCACCTATTGAAGATGTGGAGAATGAAGCTAATCCTAATGAAGTTGAGCTAAAAATTGAAAAAGAGCATCCAAAGCAAGAATCGCCGCCACAACTTAAGTTGAGGAAATCTACAAGGGACCGACAACCTTCAAGAAAGTATCCTCCCAATGAATTTGTGTTGATTTCCGATCGAGGAGAGCCTGAGAGCTACTAAGATGCAATTGAGCATATAAAGAAAGATGATTGGAAAAAAGCCATGAAAGAGGAGATGAATTCCTTACTTGAAAATCGTACTTATGATTTAGTGAAGTTGCCTAAAGGGAGTAAAATTCTGAAAAATAAGTAGGTCTTCAAATTGAAAAATGATGGCAAGAATCTGAGGTACAAGGCATGTCTTGTTATGAAAGGCTTTGGGCAAAAGAAAGGTATTGACTTTGATAAGATTTTTTCGCAGGTTGTGAAGATGTCTTCTATTCAAGTTGTACTTGGCATGGCCGCAAGAATGAACCTTGAAGTTAAGTAACTTGATGTGAAGACCGCATTTCTTCATAGTGATCTTGAAGAATAAATTTACATGGAGCTACCAGAGGGTTTTGTGGAAAAAGGGAAAGAAAAATTTGTGTGCAAATTGAAGAAAGATTGTATGGCCTCAAGCAAGCCCCACGACAATGGCACAAAAAATTTGACTCTTTCATGATGAATAATGGTTTTTCTAAAACTACTTCGGACCATTGTGTGTTTGTGAAATTTTTTTCGGATGAAAAATTTATTATTCTTTTGGTTTATGTTGATGACGTGTTAATTGTGGGTCAAGACTCTACCATGATTAACAGGTTGAAATTGGAGTTGAGCATGTAACGCCCTCAAAATAATAACAATAAACCCGTCAGATAAGACATGCATTTGCATATAAACTAACCACATTCTTTCATTCATTAGAGTTCCATTACATAAGTATTACATGTTAACCTCATAACAAAATGCCCTACGGGCTTACAGCTTTCCAAGTTAACACTTGGTTACAACAAAGAGTTCTAACTCGTTTACACATTAAGCCCTTGGCTTAAAATTACATGTAATACATCAAAAGTAAAACGACAAAACTAGTCCGCCTCTAGCCTCCCAGCCAAGCATTTAATGTATGTATAATGCATTTATCGATGATAATGTAAAATAGAAAGAACTATCGAACAATTAAGAATCTCCAAATAAATATTTATATCATGCACCATCAATTGTCTACAAGTTTCCAGAAAATCAATCCATTTCTACCAAAATCAAGCCTCCCAAAAAGAAGCAAATGATGAATAGATGAAGATATAGAGCAAACTAATTCTGGTGTGTTGTGGTTGTGGGTCATATGTTGCATCTCATTCACATATTTTAAATTATGGAAACTTTTTTTTTGTATTGACCTTGTAAAATTTGATTCATTTTCTCATTGAGCAATATCAGATTGATTTTATTTGTGTTTTTTTTATTTTTTTTAATCAAAGGCAGCTTGCTAGTGATGGGTTAAGTGAGATCCTATAGTCTCACTTATATCTTTATTAAATTCAATACTTTTTTTTGAGGTCTTACTTGTGAAAAAGTTTTGGGAAGTGATGTATTCATAATGAGGTGAAGCTTTGCTGTGAATTTTGGGAAGTGTTGTATCTTATTTATGTTAAAAAAAAGTAGTTGCTTATGTTCTACTAGTTGTTGCTTATATGTAAAATGATTCTCCCTGCAATATGCTTCATGGCATACAACAGACCAGAAAAATTGATGATATGGTGAGAAATTAAATATTTATGCGAATACTGACATTTAATTTCTCTTATTTTTTGTGGATATTTGCTAAGCTTCTAATTTTAATAAAATTTGTTTCATTTATAGATCCATTCCTATATCTGTAGACACCCCATTTTTGACCGTCCTCAAGACTTGGACGTCACCGTTTGAACACTCAGTGATCATCCATGATTGTGTTCGTTTGGAGTTCCCGGAGGTCTCGGCTCGCGCGCCTTGCCTCAGGATCCCCGAA